GTGTGTGTGTGTCTGTGTGTATGTGTGTGTGTACACTTTTTTAAAGAAATACATTTTGCAGGGTTTTTTCTCAAAGTATCGATTCACAACAAATCCACTGAAATCAATAATATTTGCTTCTTATGATAATAATAATAATAATATTTCATAAGCATCGCTAAATTAACCGTTTATGTTTCCCTTTTCTGATCTTTTCATTACAGGCTCTACTGAAAGGAAAGACACGTCACTAGCTTCTAAACACCCATTAACAACGTCCACTGAAAGCAAACCGGAAAAAAATTTTTTCAACCTTCTAAATATTATGAAGTTGTGAACGATAACGCAAATTGCTTACTTAAAGAAACACATCTTCCTGGTCAAGGAATGTGTAATTTATTCTAATCTTGGAGATCGCTGCTGCAAAAAGGATACATGCTATTCAAGGTCACAATGACAAAATACCTCCGGAGTATGTCGGAAAAGGACAAAAATCAGAGAAATTATAGACCTTTATCGTTATCCAGTCTATTCGTGTTCATCCTTTTGAATGGTGGTTTTATCAAGAAGAACGAAAAAACGATTTAAGCTTGTCTTGTGATAAACGTACTTCAGCATTATTTGAACGCTCATGAAATGTATCACAATTTTCACCAAGAGGACAACAATGGCGCCTTATGTTTGCATACATTATCTATCTACATTCATCGTGTTTATTGCCCCTTCGGTAACAGCTGTGCCGTTTTCAGATATCGGGGGGTATTACTCTGTTCCGAAGTTGAACCCGGAGGCCTACGTAGTTGTCGGAGATATCAACATAGGCTTCATCACAAGCGTATATAAATTTTCCAGTGACTCCAATAAGTGTGACGACTTCGCTGCAGATCTGAGGGCGATGCAAAGGATAGAGGCGATATCGTTCGCTGTGAATAAGGTCAATGCGGATAACACAATCCTGCCAAACGTCACCCTGGGGTTTGTCATTCTAGACAGCTGTCAGTCTACCGTCACGTCCCTCGCCCAGGCCTTGTCGTTTTTCCCACGTACGTACGTCAGCTGTTACAAAGACACCTGCAGCTCAGCACCGTCTTCCTCGCCACCGTTGTCCGACCAGACATTCGATGACGCAATCAGACACTATGACGTCATCGGCGTCATTGGGCCGGGGAGTAGTTCGCAAGTCATCCCCATTTCCCAGCTGTACTCACCTATCCAGCTTCCAATACTGTCCTTTAGAGCCACAAGCGATGAACTGAGCGACACGAGTTCTCACCCCTTTTTTGTGAGAGTGGTGCCGCCTGATAAGTATCAAGTGGACGCGATGATAAGTTTTATCTATGATCGGAGATGGTCGTACATTTCTGTGGTCTATATAAGGGGATCTTACGGAGAAACAGCGTTTAGCAATATAAAAGTAGCCACCGAAGAGAAAGGAATGTGCATTGCTACGTCTCACAAAGTCAGCACAAATTGGGATATGCACCTCGTAGCTGAAGACCTTCTGAGGTACCCTCGCTCTCGTGTGGTCATCTTATTCATTACCAGCTCCATGGTGCTCCAGCTGTGCAAGGCAGTGCAGTCTCTAAACGCCGCAGGTCACTTTATCTGGGTCGCGAGTGACGCGTGGGCGTCTGCAGCAGTGTCTTTGACCAGTGTCTTGGAAGAGATTGCCGGGTCTCTAACTTTTTCTTACTTCTCCACCTCAGTTCCCGGATTTCCCGAATATTTCCGGAACATAGATCCAAACAATACCCGAAACCCGTGGATGAAACGGGCTTACGAAATGGCAGCGGGGTGTAATGGTAACAGCTCGTGTGACTATGGTCGAGATTTTACTCGCTTTGACAGTTTTGTCCATATAGAAGAAGTTTCTAACATCGCCGATGCGGTTCTGGCTTATGCTCATGGCGCTCACAGCCTTCTCGCTGACCTTTGCCCCGGGACCACCGGAACAGCGGCCAGGAACTGTATCACGGGAGAAAGATATCTCAGGTATTTTCATCGACATTGTAAGGTTATTCAAAAAGTCTACTGTATAAAATTCAACGTTCATATCTGATAGGACAGGTCCAACATTTTCTGGCATTTTCAAAACATATCCCAAACATCTCCATTTTCCTTATTTTATGGCCGCACTGACATCTTTAGAAGGTGCGGTGGCGGAGTGGTTAGTGCACTTGTCTCTGAGGCGGGTGAGACGTGAAAAATGTCAAATATATATTTAAATGTGGCGGAGGGGGAGGGGGGCGAACAAGGATTATTCAAATTCTTTATCAAGCATAATACCAAGTGAGCTAACAGTGGCCCAAAAGAGGGCTAAGAATCGAAAGCTACGGGAACAAATCAATTTTGCAAGATGTTGCTTTAGAGTATCTACCCCGAAGTGAAGACAGTGCACAATCTTTGACAAGCATAAACCATCTAGTGCCACATGACGCTGGTTCTCGTAATTTATTCGTACAATGAAAGCTGCTTGAATAGCGCGCGACAGTGGTTACAATTTTTGTACGTTGCCATATCGGCTAGCAAGCATGACTTCTGTTGTGTCAGTGCCCTCTGCTATGGTGCACTCTCTTACTTATTATCTTAAAACTTCTTAGTGAGAGTAACACGAGTAACATTAAGAGAATATATCCCTTCGTTACCTGAATGCAGTGTTGAAATCGAGATAGGATAATCCGCGTAAAGGGTATGTTACCGGTACTCCTAATTCACCACCCAAAACTCTAAACAGACAAACGTAATATAACGTATATTCATTATTAGCCAGTTTGTATAGAATCAACTAACGTAGCCCTGGTAACTGCACACACTCGAAGAAATCTAAATAAAAGAGCGCATACCGGTCTTCTGTTCAAAGTATCCATAAATAAATTACATGATATAATTTTCTGAAATCGCTTTTTTTACTTTAAAATAAGTGTCTGACCTTTTTTGTCTGCAAACAGAAATGGCGACGCCAGGAAACTCGAAGGGGCTCACATTAGCAGATATGTCTATACTGCCCTTGAAACTTTTACTCAAACAAGCTAAAGAACAAAGTACCTTTCTTGCGTATAAGACTCTTGGGTTCAAAGGTAGAATAATGGATCGGGCTCATCTGTGATCAATCACAAGCTTACAATTAAATGTCTGGTAAACAATTAAAAAGCTGTATTCAAATAAACAAACTGTATTCACACATTTTGTTTCTTGGGATAAACTTGAAAAGTTTGATTTTTTTCTTTAGAAATGCAAATAAACAGAGACCTAATATGGGATTCGCGGCCATATTATTATTATAATTTTTTGGAAAATTTTAATGTAGATGTTTTCCCCAAAAGACACAATCCAGAAAACCGTAGAGACGGACTTCTACTAGCCAGTTAGGGCGAAACAGGATTGAGAGGGATACAACGTCCTATTTGGAAGACGAAAGTGATATTCGAAAAAAAAATGGCCGAAAACATGAAAACAGAACTCCTTTCTCCTTTGTGCCACGGCAAAGAGCCAAATCGTTCCACCAAGAGACACCGTGCTTAGATCTAATTCCCGTCCACACGGCATCTGCCATTTCCTCTGAACTCGGAACGTAACTATAAGGAGTAAATAAGTCGATAACACTTCCTGCCTACGTACGGAGAAACATTTTGATGCGCTTGATAGTTATTATGTTGCGATGTTCATGCCAATAGAAACAACTCACGGTACTACAATTTTTTGAGTGAAGAAAATTCTTGACGTAACTGGGATTGGACGACATTTGTAGCGTTACCTTTTGGAGACCCACAAAAAACAGAAATTAAATGATAGTAAAAAGATACACGCATAAAAACACAAACACACACACACACACACACACACCTCACCCACCCCACCCCACCCCCACACACACACACCATTCATACGCACACACACCC